GACAGGAGAAGAGCTACAGATTTTTGTGGTGCAGTTTTAAAGTTACTGCTTGAGATAGCGAAATAAGGCTAACACCATTATCAACTATTTAAATATATGGTATCTCAAGAATGCATTGTATTCTGGAAGTTCCAGAGGTGTAGTTCAGTAGACAGCACTATAAGATAACCTTAGGGTGATTGTGGCAAGGCTATAGTAACTAGAAAATGTTTTACCTGGAGGTAAGGCTCAAAATGGTCCTCATGATGTTTTATCGATCAATCAACAAATCTCTGTTGACTAAGGTCACTGTTCTTGAAATGAACTTTCTTAAATATTTATGGGGGGGAAATGCATTATTTGACTATGATAGCAACAATTCAACCATCATTTTAATTTTACTCTATTTAGTTGGGGAACTTAAATGTTCAGCTTATATAGCTTACTTTGCTTTTCCTACCTCGAAAACCCATTGAACTCCAATGAAAACACTTTTAAACAGAACTGCAAAAGGAGAAATGGAGAAAAATCTGGTCTGATGATTTACTGTCATCTTTGTTAGGAGAAGGGAAATAAGCTGCCTATAAACCTATGATTTTTAGAGACTACTGAAGCCAGAGAAACAGACCACTCTTGGAGTGGTGGTGTGTACAATGCCTGTTTGTGGATCATTCTCTCATTGATCGCTTGCAGCTTAACTACTGGGTGGTGTGGGGGGAAATCAATGGGAGAGAGGCAAGGTCATTCAACATCAGGTTATCTGCATAGGAGTGGGAAAGCAGGCCACAAACAGGCACTGGGCTTCGGCTGGGCTTCATGACAGCAACCTGACTGACCCTGGACACATCAATCCCTCTGTCTCAGCTAATGCAGCTACAAAATAGATGTAGGAAAAGAGTCAGGCACAGTCTAAGCAAGACATGGAACCTCAAGTTCAATGTTCTTACATTGCCTCCCAGCCCAACTCTTACAGGCCATCCTTTCCTGGTAGAATTGATGGGAACTGATTTTTCCCTTATTGGGCTTCCTCTTTCCCATCTTTGAAAAATATACTATATGTCAGACACTATGTTCTGCAATTTTTATATACCTTGATTAATTGAATTCTCTCAACAAGCTCACTTGAGGAAATGAGCCTCAGAGAAGTGTGTGGGTGGTGCTGGTGAGTGGTCAACCCTGCTCTCCTTGCTAGGCCAGCCTCCTTTGCCTCGATTTGCGCCACACTGGAAACATCTGGAGACCATTAAAGACAATAATAACAACACAACAATGGACCAGTGCTGGGCCCTCCCCAGGCTTGGTGAATCAGACTCTCTGGGGGGTGGAGCCAGGGTTTCCTTTCATTTCACAACTCTCCCAGATGATGGATGCTAATATGCAGTTTGGCTTGAGAACCACTGTGTTAGACCATGCTAGCTCTCCAAAACAAAGGTAAAAACAAGAAGAAGAAGAAAAAAAAGGAATAAGACTAACATTTATTGAGCCCCTACTGCACATCAAGTGTGTAATCTTATCTAATTCTCCCATACAACTGGGAAAATTATTCCCATTTTACAGATTTGAAAGCTTTGGAGTTACTTAATCACAGAGGTTAAGGAATTTGCCCCAAATTTCCAAGCTCATAAATGACAGGTGATTTAAACCCAGGGTTGTGTTCATGCTGCTACACCACATAGCTAAGAAGCACGCCTCCTGGTACACATTGAGGGCTCCAAAGAAATCAAGCCAGGCTTATAAGAATTTGAGCTTAGGGCCACGTTAGAATTTCAGTAGAATGCAACTTTAGGAGGTTTCCAAGGAGAATGATAAGGCAGGAATACCTGAGAGGAGAGAGAAAAGCATGGTACATCAGACGAGAGAAAGAGACAGAACAGAGGCAAAGGGTAAGGAATTACTTATATTACACTCACTATCCTAATTCTCACTGCAACCCTAGGAAGGAGGAACTACAATTATCCCCCTTCTGCAGATGGGAAAACTCAGGCCCAGTGAGGTTAAACAATACCCTCAGGTTGCACAGCCGGTAAGTGGCACAATGTGAATTCAAAACCTGGGTCCAGGTTTCTAACCGCACACGGTGCACATTGCCCATCACTTTTCAAAGAAGAGGAAGAAGAGCAGCAAACAGGATTTATTTTGTTTAATGCTCTGGGGCAGGCACTTTACATTCATTATCTCAATGAATCAATAAATTCAGGGAATCACTTTGTCCTTGTGAAGAGAGTATGACCTCCAACTTGAGTCAAGAAAACAGGCTTAAGTATCTTGCTTAAGGTCTCAGTGAAACTGAAGCAGCAGTTTCAAACCCTCGGTTTCATGTTCAGTCCCTAATTCAGGTTATTCTAAACCCATGTTCCGCTAGAACAACACTAAAGTTAGAAGTGGTATTAAAATGCTAAAGACCAAAAATCACAGCACACAGGGCTGTAAGTAGGGAGAAACAGATCGTGGGAGAGGACGGAAATGGATTTTATTATGTTGATCAAAAATTGGAATAGGACTGAACAAGGAAATATTTTAATTTTGTTTGGCCAGGTAAGAACTGCAAATAGGCAGCAGAAAATGATTTGGAAATAAACATTCAAAACAAATGCCAGATATTCTTTTTTTTTTTTAATTGTTGAAAATATTACAGATGTCCCCTTTTTTCCTCATTGACCCCTTCCACCCCACACCCAGTCCCCGCCCCAGACCTCCACCACACGGTTATTTGAATTTAGGCACAATCATCTGAACAGAGAGTAAACAACCTGTAGTACAAGTGCTTCCCTGAGCCCCCACCTGGGACTGTAAACACCAGCAGAGTGGTTCACATTTGGTTGCATCTGACCTTGAAAACTCTGCTTCAGCCTCTTTCTTTCCTTTCTTTCTTTCTTTCTTTCTTTCTTTCTTTCTTTCTTTCTTTCTTTCTTTCTTTCTTTCTTTCTTTCTTTCTTTCTTTC